CAAAAGCGACAGCAGCGGCCAAGTGCAAACTGAAACCACTCCAACTTGGCTAAGGCCGGAAACGGTAGCCGCCTGCTCCTTGATCTTGCTAGAGAGTCTTCGTTCGTGCTCATGCATGGTTTCATTCGCCCCCGTTCCCCTCTCACCCCCGCCCGCTACGACTGCACTTGCCACTAGCGTACAGCAGAGTCGGCGCCTGTGTGGCGCAGAGCATCTTGAAACGGTAGCGCAGCCACACATGGCCCAATGATGACGGTGAACACCTATGAGAGAGAGAAAAGGAAAGCGAGTAAAGGAGCGCAGGTCATCCATCAAACTATTTCCTCAACCACTCTTAGTGAGCCACTCAGTATGCTCAATAGCAAATGGATAAAGCATGTAGGAGTTATCTGCCGAAGTAGCTATACGTGGTGGACATGGAAGCCTGAGTCTATCGTGCCACTCAGAATAGACATTTCCCAAAAATTGTCGAATGTATGATCGGCCGTTTGGTCAATCAAGGTTGTTAGGACCCCAGAAGAATTCTAATATTATTTGCGTAATATATATGATGATACAAATAGGATGTATGTGATGCCGTTGCGCAATGACGAGCCGCTAACCACAGCCGAATTCGGCTTGATCGGCCATTAGTAGACGGCCGAATATACGTTAGAAGTTGCCTAACCTTGGTCAGATATTTCGTCGAAATAATTTTAGAAATGAGAAGAACGGCCTATCTCTTCGAGTCGCCCCGCTTCTCGCGGCTCAAGAGAAGCTAACATGATACGCCCGTCCTAGTTCTCATCATCATCAAGAGCAATTCATGCAACGTTGGGGACGGCAGGCATTCATCGGTGCTTTCGAGCGCTGTAAGCAAGATACATGACAAGAGGATCAAAAGACCGCTACTTCCGTCAAAGCAACTCAAGCGAAAGGGCTGCTCTCGAGTCATTTTCGGCAGTGTCTTTAATGTGAACCGGCATCCTTTACAATGACTGGCCGCAGTCTGACGAGCAGAGATGCGTCAGAAATCTAAAATGGCCACGGATCCCATTGTTCTTAAATGCCTCGCAGTGAAATGGTTAGACGCATGAGGGAAGGATCCGTTCAGTGGCTGATCATATAGCCACGTAAATAGAGAACAGTTAGCCCGCTGTTAGATAACTCGTCAAGAAATGTTCGCCCCGTACTGATAACGGGGAAAGGAAAAAGGTGCGTAAGATATCCTTATGATGAGCTTACCTGCCCACAACTTAGCTCTCGTCCCATTCGAAAAGAGGATATTATCATTGGTACAGTTTGGTGTTTGGCCCCCAACATCCTCGGTTGCTAATGGTACTATAGCTGCTGCCGATGGCGCCACCGCCGCCTCAACGTCAGCCAACTCACTGATCTAGCTGATTGGTTCTCACGCTCTCTCTGTTTCTACCTACCGCTTATTCGCGCCCTTAAACACCCTATTTCCCCTTCATGACCTTCTCGGCGTTCTAATGTGGCCAAGCGATATTTCCGAGTTCGCCTCTAACTGCACTCACGGAGCAACCACTCACTGCTGACACACAGATATACGCCAGATAGAAACAGACATCCGCGCCCATGGAGACCGGCAACGCCTCGTATCAGCGACGCAGCTCACAGTATAGCGAGTAGATCAGTCAGTGTACAGAAAGGTTATGACGACAAGGGCAATAGGGGCAGCAGCATTCCCAGGTCGACTGCTTTTCTTGAATGTACCTGCGTCCGTTGCCCTGCCCTAAAGGCGACAAAGTGTCAAGCCCCAAGCTCTGCCTACGCGTGCTCATTGTCCGTTAGCCGCGGCTATACTACGGATGCTGCCGGTGGCCATCACGTGTCTCGCTAATTAGCAGCCGTCGTCACCCTCGATGCTGGTCCACTTTCTTACTCTTCGCCTTCTGCAGGAAGTTGACGAATACTTTGTTTCTCGAACACTGCGCCTTGTGTTGAACTGTTGGATTTGCTGTATAGATCGGGTCACATCGCGGCGTATTGGAGAAAGGCACGGAACGTTATCATGAGAGCTGCGCGTAGCAGCGCTTGACACGGGACCGGAAGCAGTAGCGGAAGTCGGCGCACGTGAGCGACAGCACACAGCAACAGGAACAGACGACGTTGTCCGAGACAGAGCTTCCTAGTCTGTCGCCGAAGTAAGCCCCACTCGCGCCAACATTCGGACTTAGTAATCCTCGAAAACCGGTAACAGTGCTACTGACTAAAATAGTGGTGATAGACCTCAACGGTAAAATTCATTGCCGCTATCCAAACAGCCAGAACCTCGCCGGGAGCCTGATCACTTTGTTCGGGATGGGCTTGCCGCTGCAACCGTGTTGGCTAAATACCGTGGTTAGATTTGTAATTTGTAAAGCGTACTGGCGTAAGTACAGCGGCGGCAGTTAGCTAATGCTGCTTTCGAGACTCTCTACGCCGGAACAATCAGATGCAACTAGGGCTGGCCCAAGGAGCTCAATCAATCAACAAGTACTCAGCATTATACAACGGAAGGGACTGCCTTAAGGGGAGATATTGCTATGACATATTTTGGATCAGCCAGTGATGTCGTCTTGTGTTCCTAGTTCTCTAGAAGTATTATATTATTGTTCGTATTTCTTTCATTAGTGGTAATAAATCTGGCTTGAAAGCTCCACTGATATAATTGCAAACAATTTTACGTGTTGAAAGCCCCTCATCTGTACATATTACGTTTTGCATTCATTCGAGGTGTGAATAAACAGAACTAAACAAACTGACGAATAGGGCAATGAAGCAGGAAACCAGTGTTACTGTTTTTTTTGTGTTGTTATTATTGCGTCAAGCAAATGTTCTACTAACGCTCATACGCGATAGTAGAGTATGTACTTACTAGTAGTTATGTGAAAGTGAATTGGAAGACGATGGTCTGTGTTAGGAAGCTGTCCGCCGCTCGAGTCGAAAGTGCCGTCTGCCAGAAGCGAATTAAACTGGCGGATAGGAATGGCCAAATAGATGTACATGGAGGAGCTACGCTGGAACAGACAACGGCCGCTGCCAGCGTTAGATCCTTCATGCCTCGCCCACCTCCTGTAGCAGCGTTTGCGCTGCATCCGTCATTTCAACGGCTGTTGATGATCATCCAGAGCATAACAGTAGTTCAGAGACCACACGCTTTGCTATACGGTCTTGACTGGCCGACAGCGAAGCACGTAGTAACAATGACAGAAAGACAAGCTGCCATAGAGCATCAGTCGTGCTGAATGGCCACGCTTGTGTTTTGAAGAGTTGAGGAAGTGAATTATTCCAAGATGAACGCGCCCGTACGTCTCTATATGGATATACATGCATGTCCATGTGTATGCCTGCCCTTACTGTGTAATTGCACTTGCAGCCGAGAAAGAGGAGGGCGTCGGCAGTCCTTTGGACATCCGTTGCTCCTGCCTTTGCTTAGTTGTCGTCGTTTAGTTAAGATACACTGGTGGCCATTATTTTCCTCGGCGAAATCACGACTTCTAGAATCACTTCTGTTATGTGTACAAGCCCTGCAGTAGCGGCCCCACTGTCCTGGATACTGCCTGCGCCACAAAGTAGCCACGCCTGCCGGCTGCTTCTCCAGTATGCCGCTGGCATCACAGCCCAAAATGCTTTGAACAGAGAGACACACGCGGCAACTGCGCTGTACATTCGCATTGTCACTTTTCCGCTGGCCCGACCGCCGCCGCAAGCCAAAGCAGTATACTAACGCATTACTCAATGCCGCCGAAGCGGGGCCCTTCGTACGTAAGGGTTCAAGCCACTGACTCTATCGTCCGTCGGTGTGCACACTCCTGTCGTTATATGTTTCCCGCTCACCCTTCCATTTCTGTTTTCCACTGCCCACGCACTGGGAAAGAAGGCTAACCCATTCTATAGAGTGCAAGGGTGATGGGTCAAGAGGAGGCGTGGGTGTATGGGTGGGTGAAGCCATGGAACAATGGGCTGAAGCGTCAACTCGTTTCAAATGTTAGCTATATATTTCAGCGTCGACGAGTGTCAACGAGCGGTAGCGCACTACAGCTGGCGTGAGTGTAGAAGCAAGACGACTGAAGCCGGCTCAGTTGACCGAGACAAACGGAGCTCATCCCTGTTCGCTCGACGGCCCAGCTGCCACGAGCTTGGCATACCGGATCGTTGCGCCACCGCAGACAAACTTTATAATTCCTATGTTGACACTATCCGCTTATAGTCGGCAACATGACCCGCTCTGTCCTTCCTTGCCGAGTGCTTAAGCAGTATGTAGCAAGTAGTGTGGGGCAATGGCCATTGATGCTGCAGTAGTCTTCGCTTGCCGCATGTCTTCCTGCCGCCGCGATCGTGGCAGTGGATTCCTGACGCAGTGGCTTTAGAACAAGACGGCTAGAGAACCCCTAGGGTAAGTCACTGGCCGCTGACCAACCGAGAACGACACGGGTTGACTGACTCTCAAGGCAGCTTCACAAGAAGAGCATGTCCGTTGCAGTGACAGTGGTGCTGGATGTAGTGACGACGGCAGCGGCAGCAGCGTCGACCCCTCATGCAATCCCATGGCAGCAGTCTCATTTAAACCAAGCAAGCCAGTTAACTAACACGATATTGCAGTACTACGAGAACGAGCGCAGATGAACAAGTCTCAAGCCTCTAGAGTTGCTTGGGGTGTAGGTGCACTTTGGTAGATATGAAGTTAAGATGACAACGCGTTCTGGCATTAGATAGGTCACGGAATTATAGACTCAACTCAGTACGCATCACATAACTAGCAAGCAAAATGGCAGAATACAAACATCGTACCCCAAATTCTACTGTATTGTAATACCTGTGTCCTGGTTGTTTGTGCTTAACAGACTGCCAGGTGACGCTTGGCTATATTGTTCACAAGAAACTGTATTTGCAACAAATTTAAACTGTGTGTTTTAATGTTTTACTGGCGTTTCTATATAGCGAACGCCCTTGCTTTTAGTGCGTTGCAGAAGAAATACATTGTATGATTCTATTTCATCTTTGTTTCTTTTCAGCTTGCCAAGGAGGAGTCCTTGACGCAACTGGCATCCGACCTTAAATCATTTACGAACAATAAGGAGATCTTCAGTACGGACGTAAAGGAGATTTCAAAGCTAATGCAAGGGATGCTGAGCCGACTGGGATCAAGCGGAGTCGACCATACTATCGATATGTGGCACCGTGAACAGATTTATAAGGAACTCTTGTTGGTAAGCAGCAAAAAATTCTGTGATACAGGAACTTGCAAATAGATTTAACCGGTGCGAATTGATCGAATAATGATTCTCGCACTTCAAAATGTGTGCCTTGCGAAATGTAAAAGGCAGGCGTCTTTGTTTCATGGTAGACAATGGTTGGGCATTGACCCAAAACTGGGAAGATGGAGCATCTCTAATTTGTTCCTACAGAGGGCCTAACTGTCTCCTTTTTCAAATATAATTAGCAACGCCTTCTCCTTGCACTTATAGGAAACGAATAGCTAATGTACACCAGAGTGAGTATCAATATATTATAAGATATTCTTCTAATTTAAAGTTCGTTGCTCACCGTTCGATCTTAGTGTAGGTATCGCCTGCGGGCAAAAAATAGCGGCAACATTTGTACTCCGATAGCACCATGTTGCAGGCACATTTTAACCATGTCATTAATTCTCGAAGGGAGCGATATGGACAGTGACGAGTAAGGAAGAAACTTTGCACAATGTAGTTTAAAGAACACAGTAAAAAAAAACAGTGAGAGTAATGAACGATTGTAAACTGAAGAGCTTTTCGAAAAAGTCTTCAGTGTTCTTATTGATTTGCATCATCCAACATTCTCGATATAAGAAATTCGGTTCTACTCAGTAAAGAGTGAAAATATAGCAATAAGTATTTGATAATCCCGCATGACCTTATAGGGGTTTGCCGACGACACGACATAGACAGTGCATGAGTGGATTCGTTTCCACCGAGTAAAGGCAGAATACAATGGCTGCACCTGAACTGTAGAAAATGGGAAACTCGTTAAAAACTAGGCGTGCCTAGAAGCAACCGTTATTGGCTTGATCTTCTTTTCTGTACTATAGTCTTCGTTGTAAGAACGTAGCTCAATATTGTAAACATTGTCAGCGTTGTTTCTTGCATTCACTTACTGGTTTAGTATTTGATGAATAGTCACTTACTACACGTACTCATCCCCTATAATATGCCAAGCCCGTTTTGACGGACAAAACAACCATGTGAGCCAAATGGCGGTGGCTGTGAGAATAACAGGCCCTACAGTAACCTTTAGAAGATAAGCCAAGTTGACTGATGAGCGTTCGCGTGTAGGCAATAGAACAGCCTGGACGCCCTTTTGCAGTCATCCGACAATAACCTATAGACGAACAGCAAGAAACAAATACAACCCGTAGGGCCAACCATACCAACTAGTATAAAGCCAAGTAGTGGTGGCTAAAAGCGACTGATATCGTTGGGAAGATTTACGCAGTATTGCGTTATCTCGCTCGTAACGAACGTTAAAGTATGCTCGGCTTTATCAGCCTGCTTTGTCAGTACTTTGTTATCTTCATTCTTTGTCTTCGTTGCTTCATGCTGCTCGTTGGTTTCATCTTGATGCCGATAGTATTCCCGCATTTAATGAATATATATCCGATCGCAGGTGCGAAGGCACAGTGAGCTGACAGCGATCTCATAGCCTCGTTCTACATGTAAACACCCTTATTGGAACAGAAAGGCTATAATGAACAGAAAATTGTATTGTTATTACTATCGACCCATCATCTTATCGGTTTAGTGATCTCTTTACGTTGTTCAGCCTGAAACAGTGTAATCTCTCTGATGTGATATGAAAGATATTAAAAAGAAGCCATCGCGTTTGCTCTTCATTACACACTATGATGACAGTAATTTCACTAAAAGAAGAGTTATACTTAAATTCTCTGTATGATTTAATAGTATTGCTATTTCTGCAATATAACTACTATAATTATTCGTCTATTTGCTCGCACGCACAATGTGGCCCTTGAAGCATGATAAATTTTTTCAACTTAAACTCAGACGCTGCATTAGAGAAACTTCAGGGGTAATGGTGGTCGTATAGCACTGGTTTCACGGACATCACAGATGTAGCATAAGTAGCGATTTATGCAGCAACATCGGCGGCATTGGGTGGGTTAATTCGAATTCAGGTGCCTGTACTTGTTTCTGAGTTTGCTGTGTGCGAAAGCCCAGCCCACTCGGGAGAGCGGTCTAGCCGCACCAGGCCGAGTTACTGTTGTCAACAGTTTCTTCTCTTTCGACGGCACTTTTGAAGTTTACCTTGTTTCCGATCGCTATTGAATCACGGCAAGGCGGTACGGGCGTCGCTGTGGCTTGAATCCAGTTGCTAGCTTTAGCCTTTATTGACTCATTAACCCGCTTAGTCTGCGACGAAACTCGTGTTCGCGGGACAATCCCACCTTTTAGGCGTTTCCACCACCGAGCCGTAAACTCATCGTAGTCCCTCTTTTCCTTTGAACCAGCGGCCGTGGCGACTGTCTTCTGGCCATAATGAGCCATTGATAAGGCTGTGTTGATAGTCGACTACAATGGGCTCACCTGCAAAGCCAACATGTGGTGGATTTAACTAGAGAGCATCTTTAATTCAGACACATAGGGAGGTTTGGCTGCAAATGGAATTTGTCGAATGTCGATATGCGACCTTGTGATGCGCAAAAAGTATCCCACGCATAGTCTAGGCGCACACTTTGTGTGTGTGTGTGACGTCTGATTTCAAACGATCAGGCAAATTTTTGAAAATTCGGAAAACAGAGAAGCAGGGGTGGCCGATACGCTCTACGGCGTGTTTTTCTCTACGTTAAAGCCGAGATATTGCCGATCACCGCTAAATATCGAGGCATCGGGTGCTCATTGCTTCAGTATATTGTGCCACAATTAATTCACACGTTACAGCTATCGCATTAAACAGACTAGCCGTATAAGTCACAGTAAGCGTGACTGTCTCAAGCTACCCTCTATGATAATGAGGTAACGACCTTCGCAAAATGTTGCCACTGCCTCTTCGATTTATACCTTCCTTATTCGTAAGATGATTACAGGAAGCTTACATCAAACCAGTAGCGGTACGCGCCAACGGGAGGTACTCTATTACAATCCTCTCTAATCATATTATGAGGAAGATGAAAATAACCTCGGCAAAGTAATCTCGGGTATCGGGAGATGGAAGAAGGCTATATTATGCCTACATGCATGTTTCGCTAGAGGAGTGCGTTTTTTGGCCGCAGTCAGCGTCGTAATAAACGTACGGATGGCCAGTGGCTCGAGCGAGAATCGTGATCCCGATGCGATGTCTATGCCTCGTTCAATATTGATGCACATGGAGAGATCGGATCAAAAACTAACGGTGACAATCGCGAAAAAAACTATCTATCTCCCTTTTGTATATCTATCTGCCAAGATTAGTTACTCACGAACGCTGTTGATTGTTCTGTTTAATTGTTTGTGACTGTGTGACAAACATAGAAAAATCCAGATTTCGAAACAGGCACGAACATAGCAGATGGAAAAACAATAATTTGCCGCGACAATGATCACTGTCGTTCGTAACCCGGCGCCCTCAGTCACCTTCCAATGGCATTATCTGATACTAATGGAAACGACGCTTGAAAAAAGTATGCTTGACCCACAGCTTCTAAAAGCCTGATTAATAACCAGGTCAGGTACTTGGATACGCGACGCCATTGTTAGACAACGTGGTATTCATGGACAGCGTCAGGGTGCACAAAAGGGTTATAGCATCGCGTTGCTTCTAACCATGTACTCCTATTATTTTTGTTTGTCATGCGCGTATGCTTTATATAGTGTAAATATTCGCTTTATGCTTAATATTGGCTTTGAAAAACAATGAATTTGCACAGCTTTAAACCATTCAAAGACGAAACGTATTTTAGTAGCTGGTGTTAGTTTGAAACAGGTTGCGACTAAATAAACAAATGGTCTATATATATATATACCGTGACGCTTACCGTTTTATTAACAATAGGCAAAAAATAGTGCATGCACCAGAATCGAGCAAAATGTCTCATTTCATACCTAATATGTACCGGGTACAATAATAATAACACATCTAAATATGGTTGCTACATAGATAGCTTTTAGGTTAGAAAAAGCTTTTGATTAGGCTTACATCAAAAATACCCAAACGTGCGTATCTTGCTTATCAGATAAATCGCACTGAAAAAAAAAAAAAAAACATCCATAAACATGGCCGTATTCTATCATTATCATTAGTTGTTCTTCATAGTTACTTAATGATTTTAACTCAAAAATCAAACGAATACTCTATCCTGTTATTCAACTTGAGGAACCCCTTTGGAACCATCGGAAGAAGCACACATTATCGGATGGAAGGCAGCGTCGCCATAATTATTCATACGGTCCATTTGACGTCTCCTCTAGTATTCATAGCGGAAACGTCTCTCTCTCTCTTTATCGGTCTCGTTCGCATTGTATCGTGTTTTGCAGTAGCGAGACGCGGTCGCCGCCTACGAAACCGTGACAACTACTTATCACTACAACTAGAATAGGTGTATTGACCAATACGGAAACGAACCTTCCCAATCAGTTGGAAGCTGAGGAGATCGTAGACGAGTGGGAGCCAGCGCCTCGCTATTTTGGGTTGCCCCGCTCATTCCCGTCTTGTCTGTATCCGTTGATTCGTGACTATGCGGCGCGAATCTATGGATAGATTCCACCCTACCCAGTTGGCTTCGGCAACAGACTATTGGCTGATCGGTGGCCAGCAGCGATTCTATCATCTTTTCCTGCCTCGTCGTCCTCTTTCGGCTACCGATCTTTTCTCGTTAGTGGATGAAACACGAAGAGGAGCCAGCACGCTTAATCGTTTCTTCTCCTTATAAGTTAGGGTACGTATGCATAGGCGACGATGCCCGTAACCAACGTTTGCCTAGCCCTGGCCAGGTGTCCATGGGGTGGTCTACTCTATGCCGCCGTTTATACGGCAGATACGCCGGTTGGAGCAACTTTGGGGTCGTCGTAACCAGGTTTTAGTGCTTCTGATGGTTCGAGCAGTGAGAGCGGGTCGAGGGCCTTTCCGGTTTCGTCCCTTAAATCTATTCTATCCTTCTGCCACTACCGCCCAGTGCTGAAGCCATTGCCGTATCGACATTCATCTGATCGGCCTGTCGATGTCAGCCAGCTCTGAAAATGAC